TCACAACCCTGGCTCACCTACGAAAGCGGATGCAGGTCGCTATCGGGCACATAACATCCGCTAATGCCGCGCCGCGGGCACGATATGCCCACTTCAGCTCGGTATGCGAACGCAGTGTTCTATCGACCGATGTGGACGCCTTTTACACCACGCCGGGGCACCTCTATCTGCGAGGCTCAACGGTCGCTCTTCCTATCATACGTGACGTGCATGAATGAACGGGCACCACCTCGACGTGAGAATACATACATATGATTTAAGATTCTCGCGGAAGCCTGGCCCGCGAACTCTTCCTTTTCATCGATGCGCCCACTGTATGAGCGATCAGCGCAGCGCACCGCGATAGGCCTTTTCTGGGCCTTGAAGAACTGTTGCAGTGCCCATGTTCCACTAATATCGCAGTCCTGACTCACCTACGAGAGCAGACGCAGCTCGCGCTTATGCACACGACGTCCACAAATGCCGCGCCCCGGCCGTGGCATGCTTAGTTGGGCTCGGGACAGGATTGTAGTGCGCCAACGACTGAGGTGAATGTTTTCCATTCCGTACCAGCAACGTGTCCGTCTATGAGCCTCGACGGTCGCATTCTGTACTAGACGCGATGTGCATGAATGAAACAGGCACTTGACTTGACGTGAGAGACCGTGTACAGATTGGGGTTCCTCGAGGAGCCTGGCCCTGAGCGCGCTCTTCTTTTCGACAATATGCTGACTGTTTGACGATCAACGCACCGTAGTAGGTCTCTTCTGGACCTCAAAGAAGCGTTGCAATAAGTAGAAATGGCCTATTCATGGTTCGCACGGACATTGATCCAGAGGCACGCGTGCGGTGTCATACAGCTGTGAACCAGAACCCACGGTGCCCATCATTCTCCGCTAGTGTCGCAGCCCGGACTCTCCCATGAGAGCCGAGAATGGACGCAGGCTGCGTCCGTGCGCACGACGTCCATGAACGCCGCGCTGTCGCATTCTCCAGTGTACGCGATGCACGCGAACGAACGGGCACTCGCCTCGACGTGCGACTCGGAGGCCGTGCAAGGATGGGATTCTCCTGGAAGCCTGGCCCGTGCGCTCTTCTGCAGCACTGGCAGACGGCTTGGCTCTGCGAGGTTCGTGTGCACACTGATCCGAGAGCGTGCATGAGGGTGTCATACGGCTGTGAGTGCTGGAACCCATCGTTCACTGTTACGGTCGCAGCCCGAACTCGCCTACGAGAACCGAGAGAGGATGCAGGTCGTGTCCGTGTGCACGATGTCCACGAACGCCATGCCGCCGCATTCTCTAGCGTATGCGACGCGCGAACGAATGGGCACTCACCTCGGAGTGCGACTCGGAGGCCGCGACAGATGGTATTTTCCTGGAAGCCTAGCCCTGTGCGCTCTTCTGCAGCACCGGCAGATGGCTTGGATTCGCAAGATTCGCATGCACTTTGATCCGGCAGCGCGCACCCATCATGCTCTGCTCATGTTGCAGCCCGGGCTCAGTTTTGAGAGTGGAGGAAGGTCGCATCTGACGTCCGCGGACGCTGCGCGCATGGTGTGCTCACTAGAACTTCGAAGCTGGTTACAGCGTGTCGTTGCAGTGCCCTAACAACAATATTGTACTCTGAATTGAGTGAGAATAAGAACGAACGAACTGAGATGTTGCGTACGCTTCCACTCACCACTCACTCCAATCTACTCGAGCGTTTGCAAGGAGTCGCTGGCCCGATGTGCGGCGATCTTCAGTGACGTGCTAGCCATCGAGTGATCGAATGTGAGCACCGCGGGATATGTCTGTGGACCGCGAGGAAGCATTGCGGTGCCTGTGTCTGCCCTGGCTGTTCAGTTTGAAGTACGCGCATGGTTTGGCAGCATGCGTACGGTCATCATTCGGCTGCGGGTCCTGAAATTCCGTGGCACCGTCCATCGTTCGTTTCCACTGCAACGCCGAGAGAAGCATCTGACGTTGCCTATGGAGATGACACTGATGAACGCCGCAGCGCGGTGCACTCACGGAGGCATTGAAGCTGGCTATGCGTGCGATTGCGGTGTTACGGTGAGGGATAGGCAAAGGGAGGGACGCCACGATGGAATTGGATGAGGTTAGACGTCTGCTACAGGGTCAGAATGAAAGCGCACGCATGCATTGAGCGTACGCGGAAGTATGAGCTAAGAGACGACACACGAAGCTTCCACCTCCTTTCCTGCATGTACAACCCTCTCCCATGCGCACCCCATCATGCGACTGACCGTCCGCCTCATAACGATTTCCGCGCACGTTGACTGTCGCAGTCAGCCTGGGTCGCCTTTGCGTGGAGCTCTTTGCGTGTTCGAGCTTGAAGCGAGAGGGCGGGCAGCGCGAACGCGAGGGAAGCTCGTCCTGGAGAAGGCGGGATCCAGTGCGCGCATGAACGATAGCAGCGCAGAGGACGAGCGCTGTGCAAAGGCAGGGCGCCTGACGAAAGACGAGCTGCTTGCAATGCGAGCGCAGGACAGAGCCTCCGCTCTCCCACGCGCATCCCATCAAGCACTGCCGACATATCGTTTCATACGATGTTACAGATCTACAAAGCCCTGACTTAATATTTGGTCCACATCCTGGTATCTAGGGTTGGCCTTTTCTCCGGAGATCACGATGCGGTTCAAGCAGACGGGATATGAACGATCGGAACAGCGGTTTGCTCCAGAGTCCGCGATGGCCTGATTGTGAACTGTCTCAGCGACTACGTGGTCCCGCTATATACGCCCACTTTTAAATGCTTCCGGCTCCGCTGCCGCCTCCGACCGACCAACGCCGTACCCTCCCAAGTTCCTCGTCCGACGTTCCTACCGCCAACGCCGCAGCTGGGAGAGCCGAGGAGCGTACCGACGTATCCCCCTGTGCTGCCCCAGGTCCACTCGGTCGCCCAACCGCCTGCTATCGCCGGTCCGAGCAATCCAGCGCAGGGACAGGGAAGACATGACATTGTCGGGCAGGTCGTGTGGGAGGGCTCGTTGGCGTGGACGGGCACGGGCAATCGCACGGGTAGCGCGCAGGTCTCACTGCTCGCGGGGAATTGCGTCGATCAGCTGTGAGTGTCTCACGTTTGCGCGCGCGCGAGAGAGAGAAGGGGTCGCTGATTTGTGTGCTAGGCGGGCTATGCAGTGGCCGAGCGTGTTTATGCTGAAGCCTTCGCAGCACCCCGCGCTTCCTCGGCAGATTTTGCAGGATTGGATCAAGCGGAATGCGGGGCAGTGTGCCATCGTGCATGTTATACCGCAGCCTCGGCTCGCGGACACGAAGACTAACGAGGAGAGCTTTGCCGCTCTCGCGCGGCTGCTATCTGATCAAAGCAGGGTATGCCCGCATTTCATTATATCTATACAGACGTGACTGAGCACTGTTCCATTTCATTTTGTAGTACGCGGTGGCAGCGTTCAGCGGGCCCAACGGCGAGAACCGCGACCGCATCCTTTTATTCCCCGGCAAACCCGGTCAATTCGTCAGCGTCGTCTTCCTAGGCAAGGAAGGCATGCCGGAGCTCCCACACGAGGTGTGCGGGATGCCGCTATCGAAGATCCCGCCTCAGTTTGCGCTGTTGTTGTATAAGTTGCCGCAGGCGCGCCAGGCGATGTTGATGGAGCTTCCGCAGGAGAAGCGGGTGCAGCAGATACAGGCGTTTATGGCGCAGCAGATTAAGTTGCAGGCGCAGGCGGCGCATCAGCAACAGCAACAACAGCAGCAACAACAGCAACAACAGCAGCAGCAACATGCACAGCAGCAACAGGCACAGCAACAGCAAGCAGTACAGAATCAGCTGCAGCAGTTTGCTGCCAATTCTGCGCGGCTGTCTAATATTCATCCTGGAGCGTTCCCAACCGCAGCCACACAGCCACTGCAGACGCAGCCCCCAATCCAACCGACCCAACAACAACAGGGAGGATTCGTCCCACGCCCGAACTTTTACGGGATGAACCCGTTCGTGGG